GAAGGGATTGCAGCGTGGCCATCCCCTGTGGGGGGTGATTTCTCGCTTTCTGTCTCTCTGTATCTCTCTGTCTTTCTGGCGAGTGCATGCGCCCTATAGCAAAAATCTTTTTCAAAAAATGAAGTATGAATTTACTTTTGGTGAAAAACTTTTTTGGCAATCTATAAAAGATTTTTTTTCATAATTTGCATTTTCCACCCTTTTTGAAGGCGCCACATATTAAGCTTCTAAAAAAACAACTGAGGTGTACTCATCATTCTTTAGAAAACAACAATAAAACTTATTCCTGAAGATCTTTGATCATGCCAATTTTTCTTCTTGTTTATTTGCCAGAGAGTATGTATACTCAATAGAGGAGGAGGGAGAGAAGAAAGCATCCCTCAGTGGGCTGTGGTCACATCAAAATCCCTTCTCTATCCTTTCAGGATTTAGGGCACACACTCACATGGACCTAGTGTGTTTTTCAAGTCACCAGGTTCTCACATGGTCAGTCATGTGGTATCCAGCTCCCGTAACTACTAGACCACCGGGCTAGCCCAATCATCATCCCTTGGGTAATAATGGGAACCCTATGGAAAACATGTGCTCCTGGCTTCCAAGAGCAGCAACTCTTCATACAAGTCTAACCTCCTGCCATATTACAAAGGGCTTGGTAAATAGATTTGGTTTCTATATTGGCAGTTAGTCAGCTGTTTTCTTTATTTCGTTTTGTTTTATTTATTTATTATGTTTTAAGTTTGCTGTAGGGTTCATGTGCTTACCAGAGAGAGATAGAGAAGAAAAGTGAGAAAGCAAGCCACAGATCTGGAAATCGAACTGCAGTCAGCCTTGTGGGAGTTCAACACTCCAACCACCACCCCACCTGCTGGCCCTAGTCAGTTGTTTTCCTTATTTTTTAAAAACAATTATTTTATTTGACCTTATATATTTATTTATTTTTAATTTGACCAGAGAGGGACAGAGGAGGAAGAGAGAAGCAAGCTGCCAGGTATGGGACTCAAACCACAGTCAGCCATGTGGGAGTCCAGCTCTCTTAACCACCACGCCATCTGCCTGCCCCATCTAGTCAATTGTTTTCTAAAGGGAAAGATTTTCTTAACTTTTCTTATGGAACCATTAATTTTAAAAATCTTTTTGTACACAGAACATCTATTGGATTCTCAAGTAATATCTCTAATAATGTAAGAGTCAGTGAGACTACATTTTTTGTTAATTTGCCAGAGAGAGAGAGTGAGCGAGAAAGTGAGAAAGCACCCCCTAAGGTGGACAGCCGTGCTGTAATTCCTTCTTCTTCATCTTTCCCTCCTTTCAGGATTTTGGGCACACATGCACATGCATCCAGTATGTTTTGTTTTTGTTATTTTTTTTTTTTTTTTTTTAGAGGGAGGTTTTTGCTATAGGACGCGTGCGCTCGCCAGACAGACAGAGAGAGACAGAGAGACAGAAAGCGAGAAATCACCCCCCAGGGGGATGGTCACGCTGCAATCCCTTCTCCTCCATTCTCCTCTTGGGATCTTGGGCACGCACGCACACGCGCCCGGCGTGAGTTCTAAACCACCGGGTCCAGGACGCGAATCGCGGTCGACTACGTGGGAGTCCAGCAACATAGCCATTACGTTAACTGCTGCTTCCCATCCAGTATGTTTTTCAAGCTGCCAGATTCTGGACTCAAACTGCACAATGAGCTCTGTGGGATGCAGCCGCCTCAACTTCCATGCTACAGACTGGCACCTTTTTTTTTTTCCTTTATCATTATTTTAAAATCAAAGATTCTCTTAGTTGTGACTTAGATTGTGTTGGTGCTAGAATATACGCCCCATAGCCCTACTGCCCCTAAAAGCATCTTAGACATCACAGAGGTCATCGGCCCACTCCCAGCACCAAATCCTTCTGTGAAAAGGCTCCCTGGTTTTCTACTGGTTCTCCCTCTTCTGTTTTCTTCTTCCCTCAAATCACTTGGTTCACTTTCTTGCTATCACTTTTTTCTTATCACTCTCCTTAGTCATAGCCTCATTCCACTGAGCTAACTCGGCACCAACTTAGTAGTTGCTAACTGCTCTGTTAAGACCCACAACTCTCCAAACTCAGCCAAGACTGACTGGTATACCAGGCGCTCTTCTATTATGAGGGCCTCATTAGAAAAAATGCTGCCCCCAGGGGGGCTCAGTCTACTCATTTCCCATTTATGAGTTATATCGATCACCACCCCCACAGGAATGACAGAAATCCTGGCATAGATATTAACTCCAAAATACAGAACAAATTTCATATGCCAAGAGCTATTTCAAACACTGTTCAAAAGATTAAAGAAAAGCCAGGACAGCTTCACCCTTCATTTTTCATCTGACCTATTTCTACCTTCCCTGTCTGGACTGTTAACAATGTTCTGTATTATTTTTCAAGACAAGCATTCTAGCCCAAAAAAAAGAAAAGGAAAAAGAAAGAGAGAAAGGAAGAGGAGGAGTTTCTTTATGGACATTTTTATTGGATTGAGCCAGGGTAAGTCTAAAACTTAACAGCAGTGAGCCCTGGGGCACCAGGAGAGCAGATCTCCAAACAGACTGCACCCCGCCATCCTGCTTCTCCGCCTGTTCTGCAGACACTGCCCAGCCTATTCCTTATCGCCGGATTCAATTTATGGTATTCGATTTTCCAAGAATGGCATTATAGGCAAATCAGGCTTTACTCATCTGCCATTTTAAAGGGAACTTATAATCCACTGTGGTTTCCAATTGAATGAGAAAACTGAAATTGCTCTTGGATTCTTTGAATTCTTTTGTCAGTCAGTCAACCAACATTCATTGAGTGTGAGACCAGGTTCCAGGCACAGTGTTGGACTCCAGGAGCTGATAAGGCGCCGGGAATGCCTTGCCTTTGTGAGGTGTCCTGTCTAGCCTTCATCTCCTTTTCTACAGTCATCTCTCCATATGGTTATGGAATTAAACAGGACAGTATTCATTTATATCATCATTCATCAAATGTAAAAGGCAGTGCCATCCCATGATTGCAGCAGTACTCTGGAAGGCTTAGGTAATATTAAGCAAAGTGAATTTCCCTTTATACTATTGCAATGACAGTAAGTGCCTACAGAAATGGCCGCTTACCAAGTCAGTAATAATGTTTATAAAATATATTGCAAGTTTTGGAAGACAGCCACAGAGTGAGTTGCAAAATATACTTTTCCCTATTCGCCTACTCAATTCATCTGAAAATTGAACATTATTCCTTAAGGGAAAACTATTTGAATTGGATTGTTTATTGTGGAATGCTTTGAGGGTAACTGGGTATGGCAATTATTGAAGAGAAAGAATGGTAGCCCTCCTGGGAGCTGGCCAATCAGTGTGAAAGCCCTCCACACATGGCCAGGACTTGTGAATTTCAATCATGACCTGTACTGTATCCCTAAACCAAGGCGGAGTGGGGAAGGGGGTGCTACACGACTGAGATTTACACCTGGTGCTGTAGATTAAATCACATGACAGAGTCACGCTCTGGTCACACCACAATTGTATGGAAAGCCAGTCTCAAGACTGACATCACCTCTCAGTCATTAAAAGATATAGGGAAACACAGAAACATGCTAACACACAGACACATGCACATGCGGCCTACACAAAGCAGGGTAGCCAAACAAAAAGCACCAAATCGGTCCACTCTCCAGATGTCCCCAAATTAAGTGCTCTGCTTCAAGGACCAGAAACAAGATGAATGGGGTTTGCATTGTAAGACAGGGCCTCCCTCCCTGTGATTCCTCTGCCTCAGCCTCCTGAGTGCCTGAGGGACACCACCACACCAGGTCCTGCTTTGTTGCCTAGACCAACCTGGAGCTCACCCTCTTTCTGCCTCAGGTTCCTGAGTCACTGTGACTGCAGGTGTAAGCCCCAGAGCCCAACATTTAGGGTGGGCTGGGAACCGAACCTGGGCCTCCTGTGTGGTCTCAATCTGCAGCGCAGCAATGTCTACTGTGTGTTACTGTGTCTAAGAGACAAATGGGTTCTTATTTTTTTTTTTCCAGGCATGATTTTTGGCATCAAATGACGAGAATCAAAGCTCCTCTCATCCATCACACCAAAAGAGAAGGCTGGCCCAGAGACCTGAATGCACTGGCATATTCGGAAGTTTACCACATGGAGGGATAAACCCAAAGGTATGTTCTTTGCAGTAACTATTCTTTCTGTGGCATCAACTTTATTTATGGCTTATTTTCAGAACATATCACAGAGATAAATCCACTGTTACATTCTTGCAAGTTCCGACAATGTACCAAATTACTATAGTTTGCAATAAAGACAGAATTTGAAAAAAAAAAAAAAAAAAGATGGTTTCTTTAATGAAACATGGATGGCCTGATCACAGTGGTGCAGCAGTAGCACCCACTCCAGGATGCTGGAAGCCATATGGAGATCAGGGTTCAGGTCCCAGGTCAATGTGTACACACCGGGTGCTGTACATGTGGTGCTGGCTAGCTGGGAAAGGCTGGGGGATTCGTGGTGTGAGACACTCTGGAGGGTGCTTGTCTGTCTCTGCCTCTCTCTCCTCTCTTTTAAAAAATTGAATAGCATTGGGTTGTCAGGAAAGTCATGACATATTTTTCTGTTTTTCTATGCAAAGATGTGTCATGACTTTGCCAACAACACAATAGCAGCTTACCCTTATATACCATACTAAGTCTTCAGCAGTTCCTTAAGTTAAAATTGTTGTGCTAGCCCCATGGTCTAGTGGTTAAGGGAGCTGCATCATTGCAGTAGGAGTCCTAGCCCTAACAGCTTGAAAAACATGTTAGGCGTATGTGCATGTGTGCCCAAAATCCTTCTAGGACGAAGAAACGGGAGAAAAAAAATTGTAGCGTGTTATGCCCCATGGAAGGTTGCTTTCTTTCTTTTCTCTCTCTCTCTCTCTCTCTCTCTCTCTCTCTCTCTCTCTCTCTCTCCAGGACAAGTATCTAAAAAAAAAGTAAAATTATGTGGAGGGTACAGGGAATGTGGAGCCCTGGGCATCACAAACTGAGGGTTGTTCAGGACCAGGGAAGGAAGGAGTAGAAGATCCAGGAAGAAGCCCTCAGTTGCTGCCTCTTGTTTTTCAAAATTGCCGACTTTCTCATGGTGAGAGATGAGGTGACAGTGGACTAATTGAAATACGGGCTGAACTGCCAAATCGTCAATGCAAAAGCTGAATGAAAGAGAATATTTTTGCTCATAATTGTCTGAAAGTCAAGGTAGAATATCAGAAAACCTCACACACAGGATTACTCAGAGCCCCACTTTCCCCGTCTTTGCTCTGATGTCCCTTAGAGTTTTGTCCCAGCCGCGTCAGTGCCACGTTCAGCCAGGCTGTGGGACTGGGAAGGAGGGAAGGAAAGGACCAGCAGGTGTCTTTTGGCTTTTTGTTTCTCTTAAGGACTTTCTGAGGACATAATTCACATACCATACAAGTCACCCACTTAAAATGCATGAGTAGATGAGTGCTGGTCCACGGCCTACGTTTTGCCATTTTAGCCACGTTGAAGTATACAACCAGTGGCACTAATTGCGTCACAATGCCGTGTCACCATCACTACTATCTATTTCCAGCACTTCTTCATCAACAAGCAAGGTTCTTTTAAACAAGTGATGTGGACACTGTTTTCATCCCCTTCATTCACCTTCCATTGGCAAGGCAGTCACGTGGGCAGGGAGACCTGGGAAGGCCATTCCCCCTGGTCCGTGGTGGGCAGCCAGGAGCCCAGCTAAAGCACAGACCACTCCACATTAAAGGACAAACAGAAAAGGAATACCTACAGAAGACTGCAGTGCCACTGAGGATATTTCTCTGGAATACATATTTTGAATTATATTCTAGAAACTTAATTTATCTACCCTCTGTATTTTGAAGGAAATATTAAGAATTCACCAAGGGTTTGGTGTCTTTATGTAGTAGGTGGTTATTTATGTTTAGCAATAGCAAACAAGCGCCAACATTTTATCAAGAACTCATGATGGGACCAGCAGATGGCATAGTGGTCACTGGACTCCCACGTAGTTGACCATGGTTCAAGTCCTGAACCCAGCAGCTTAAAACTCATGCCCAGCACATATGTGTGTGTGCCCAAGATACTGAGAGGAGAATGGAGGAGAAGGGACTGCAGTGTGGCCTGGGGGGGGGGGGGTGGGGGTTGGGGCCTTGGGGGGGGGGCTGGGGCTGATTTCTCGTTTTCTGTCTCTGTGTCTCTCCAGCAAACACACACACACACACACACACACACACACACACTTTATAGCAAAAATCTCTCTAAAAAAAACAAACAAACAAACATACAAACAAAAAAACCTCATGATGGGCCAGGTGGCTCAGTGGTAACACAACTGGACCCATGTATGAAAGGTGCAGAGTTCATGTCCCAGGACCTTTCTGAGCATGAGCGTGCCATAATCCTGGCTGGCTGAGTTGGAGGTGAACGGGCAATGCTCTCTGCCTCCTCTCTCATGAAAGAAATAAGTAAGAAAACTTTTTTAAAAAGATTAAAAGAAAAGAGAGAAACAGGCTTTGTTTTACTTATAATGGAATGAAACCGTTTTTAGGATTTTGTTTTGATTTTGAGTAGATGATTCTCAGTATGCAAAATCTGAAAGGCACCGAAGGGTGCGTGATGTGTCTCGCTCTGACACTTGTATCGCACTCACCCTTTCACATGACAACCAACATTGCCCATTTCTTGTGTAGTCTTCCAGAGAGAGTCGATCACAGAAATGTATTTCATCCCCTTTTGAAGACTTATAAGCACACAATATGCACTTTCTTGTACCCTACACTTTTCCTTAATATACTTTGAAGGTCATCCCCAAACAAAATACTGTCTTTCATTTTAACAGGCTGTGGGTACTCTATTGTTCAGCTCTGTTATAAATTATCTATCCAATACCCTTGAGAAAGAAATTTAAGGTTTTTGTAATTCTTGGTATGGCAAACAATGATTTAGTTCTTGTACACATACTGTTTCACCCATTTGCAATTATATTATATTTCTTGGATAAACTCCCAGAACGATTTGCTGGATTAAATAATAGGCAAACTGTTCTTGGTTTTGTTGTGTGAGTGTGTGTGTGTGTGTGTGTGTGTGTACGCACACACGCACATTCATGTTTAGTTTGCTATAGGACACGTGTGCTTGCTGGAGAGAGAGAAAAAGTGAGAAATAACTCCCCCAGAGGAATGACCATGCCACAATTCTTTCTCTTCCATTCTCCTCTAAGGATTTTGGCCATGCATGCATATGCATCTTGGGTGTTTCTTAAACCACTGGGTCCAGGACTCAAACCACAGTCGGCCATGTGGGATCCAGCTGCTTTAACTTCTGTGTCATCTGCTGACCTAGCAAATTGTTTGTTAGTTCTTATTTATTTATTTATTTATTTTTACCAAGTCTTAACAACACATCCACTCATGAACAACAACTTGTGAGAGTGTCCAGTTCCCAAGCCTCCCTAATATAGATACTTTCGCTGTAGTTCAATTTGTTTCTTTTTCCTATCTAAATGAGGTTACGCACCTTTTCATGTATATAAAAGCCATTTCATTTCCTTTACTGAAAACTTTCTTTTGGTATCTTTTGCCCACTTTTATAGGGTTTCTGCTTCCTTTTTAAATTCTTGGTGAATATGGGAAACATCGTCTGGATAGACTTCGGAAGGTAAGTCTGATGGTTTATATCACCCTTTCACAGGATGGTCAACTAGAATTTGTCATCAAACTAGCCCTTTAGGAAGTAATCCTCCATGTGTATTAAATCACTAATTATAATTTCTGCTAAAGAAATACTAAAAAGAAGAAACAAAGTGTTCAGAAATTGGTATATAATATGTACTTAATAAATGTTGAAGCCCAGCCAAGGGTAGCATGCCACTCCACAGTGCTAGAAGCGACATGAAAGATTGCGGTTCGGTTCCTAAGCTGACTTGTGCAAACTGGTTGCCCACGTGTCTGCCCCTAGTGTTGGCTGGCTAAGAAGATGGGGAGAGGATCACAGGGTGAGAGCCTCTCTCTCACCCTCTCTCTATATATAAATACATTTTATGTCTCTCTATAAATACGTTGTCTCTCTATAAATACATTTTAATTAATAGATGAATGTGTGTTGAATCAATGAATAAATAATGGATAAATGGATGGAAGGATAAAAACATGTCATGAAGAACACTTTGCTTCTGAGTACTTTTTTTCAAGAATTCTTTTATTTAACTTTATTATTATTTTCCAGTTTGATCAGAGAGAGACAGAGAGAGTGAAAGTGAGAAAGCAAGCACCAGGTCTGGGACTCGAACGGCGGTCAGTCACGTGGGAGTCCAGTGCATTTAACCACCACGCCACCTGCCAGTCCCTACATTTTCGTTTTGTATCAAAATTAATGATCAAATTTGCATTATATCTGTGGGAAACTTTTCACTGAAAGAAAACCAATGCCCAAGTAAAAAGTGACTTTCAAGTAGGAATTAATTTTCTCATCTAACGAGGTCTGCAAGTTAGCAGTGCCGGTGGTGTTCCCTTAGAGCACAATGAAGACATCAGGGAGCCAGGCTCATCTTCCTGTTCTCTGGGCTGCCTTCAGCATGTTGCTATTCACCCTTGTGGTTGCAGACCCACATCTCAACTATACTGGAAGGCAGCCTGAAGGGAATGTCTGAAGAGTCTCTTCTTACCGTAGAGAACTTTGCCAGACCCCTTTCCCTACCACGTTTCCTCATCCACCTCATCTACCAGAACTGGGTCACAGGACCACCCATAAGCCAATCATTGGCAGAGCGGTAAGAGAACAGCAGGACTGGTTTAGGAAAATGGCGATTTACCCTCATGGACTGGTTCACCTTCCCTGAACACTTGCTGTTTATGCCTGAGCAAATCCATTAGAGGCCAGTGTGCAAGAAAGACTGGCAGTGGGTGGGGGCAGAGAGAATGACAAAAGGGCATCAACTGTGTGTTCCTTGTAAAATTTTCCAGGAGAACTTTCTAAATGAGTTCTGGATAGTGGGATGAAAAAGGGTGATGTCTTAATAACTATGACTTTTCCACAGTCTAGGAAGTGGTAAAGAATTATATTGGAAATGTCTGCCCTTCTATTTTAGAGAGCAGTTACAGCCCTTCTTGTTACTCTCTGAGAAAAATATTAAGAAAGTGAGGAAGTAGAGGTGGGACTTGGGTCTCGGTTAAGGGTAACCATGGGAAAAGAGACTGTTCTGAGTTAGAAAGGGCCCAGCACAAAGCCACAAACGGGGCCCAGGAGGGGAGAGAAGCACTTAGGAACTACAAGTGGGGACTTCTGATACTGAACTTTCTCTTTTCTTTTAAATTTGCAGAGATACAAGAGGGAGGCGGGGAGAGTTGAGAAAGCACCTCCTGTTCCCCTCCCCACCCCTATCCCAGGAAACCAGTCATGCTACAATTCCTTCTCCTCCATCTTTCTCTCCTTTCAGGATTTTAGGCATGTACACACAGACATGCCCAGCACGATTCATAAGCTGCCAGGTCAGGGGTTCGAACTGCACACTGTTGGTCACGTGGGATCCAGCTGCCTGGACAACGACACCAGTGGCAGGCCCATGATGCTGACTTTCAAGCTATTTTTTTTTAGTTTTTTGCCACAGGGCATGTGAGCTTGCTGGAGAGAAACAGAGAAAGGGAAAGTGAGAAATCACTCCCCAGGGAAGATGGCCATGCCACAGTCCCTTCTCCATTCTCCTCCTGGGATTTTGGGCAGGCATACACATGCACTCAGTGTGATTTTTAAGCCATCAGGTCTGGGACTCAAGCTTTGATCAGCCATGTGGGAATCCAGCGCCTTAACCACCATGCCACCTCCTTTTCTTTCTTGAAATGCCCTCATAATAGATAACTTTGGGGACCTGCACGTGTCATGGTCATTAAGAGCACTGGACTCTCCCACATGGCCAACTGGCGGCTTGCTTTCTCACTTTCCTTCTCTCTCTCTCTCTCTCACTTTGTGCCTCTCTGGTCAAATTTAAATAAATAAATAAATAAATAAATAAATAAATCTTTAAATAAAAAAGATGACTTTGAGTGGTCAGTAAATCTTGTCAACTGTATCCCTTTGCAATGCCACCTTTGCATCAGTAGTAACTTAGGGGGAAAAGGAGTTGTAGGCGTAGGTTAGGAGGAATAGTCTGAAAAAGCAGTTTCAGGATAGCAAGAAGTGATCCTTCCAAATAAACACATGGAAGCAGGAAGTAGATTAACAATTGCCAGGGCCTGGGGAATCAGAGAGGAATGAATAGTGACTTCTAATGGATATAGAGTTTCTTTTTGAAGCAATGTTTTAAAATTAGACTTTGGTAATGTTGCACAACTCTGTACTTACAGTAAAGATCAGTAATTGCACACTTAAAATGGGTAAATTTTGTGGTATCTAAATTATATGTCACTAAATTGAAATTATATTTCACTTATCAGCACATCAGCTCAAAGCAGGAAATAATCTATAGCACTGAGCATGCTCAATAAAGTTTAAAAATATTAGCAGAGGTTTGTAGTTTCCAAGGTTTCTATAAAGTGAGGGCGTCAGATATCATGCTCCCTCTTTTCTGTGGGGAATATTTTCCAAGATCCCTAATAGAAGCCTGAAATCGTGAATAGTACCAAACCGTATACACACTACGTTTTTTCCTGTAGGAGCATACCTATAATAGAGTTTACTTTTAAATTAGGCACAGTAAGATATTTACAACAGTAACTAGTAATAAAATAGAGCAGCTACGATATCACCTATAATAAAGGTTTGTGAATGTGATCTCTCTCTCTTATTGTGCTATCTCACCTAATTTCAGACAGCAGATGGCCAAGGGTAACTAAAACCACTGACTGGGGGAGAGTTACTCTATATTACTTGAATATTAAAGAAGATATTGACCCGAAAGTGAGGATAGCTTGAGGATACTCGGTGATCATAGCAACCGAGCCCCTTTCTCTATTCTACTTCTCATGGTACCTCTACTTCTCTCGTAGCCCCTTATCTCTCAGAAACAGAAACTTAAAAACGTTTTAAGTCCCCTCAGATCAGGAGACTTAAAAAAAGTTTATGGAAAAATAGAATTTAAGTATGAACTTATTTTGGTACAAAAAGAATTTTAAATTCATGCATAGTTTTCACATAATGCAAATTGTTCATGAACTTTTTGAAGATCCCCTTGTACATACACACACAAACACACACACACACACGCACATTGCATCTATAAACAATATGTATCCTCTTCCTTTCTGAGGATAGCAGGAAGGATTGGGAGACACAGTCTGGGTCCTTACTGAGTTGCATAACTAGCACACCCTGGAACAGCTTATGTCTCACTCACCATCTCCAGCTTTAAGATAAAGACTGTCCAGGGCAGAATTGCATAGCAAGGAAACACAGGGGTACTGGAACAGACTTTCTGGGTTCAAATAAAATCCTAGACCTACAAGTTACTAGCTATGAGCCTTTGGGGAATTTACTCAGCCATGCCATGCCTCAGTTCATCCCTTATATGATGGGAATAATGATAATACCAACCTACCAGCACCTTGTGAAAATAAAATAAATTAGTATGTGTAAAACAATTAGAACTGCATGTGGCAAAGCACAACCTAGCAAGTACAATAATGATGTGTTAGTTATTACTGTTTGTAGAATATGTTGTGAATTGCATTCACGACATCCCCCATTCTCCAGTGAATTTGTGAAGCATGGATATCAGAATCAACTGAACCATAAGATGAAGAGGAAGACTAAAACCATGGCTTGTTTAAGACTATGATTAGGGGCCATCAGGTGGCATGGTGGTTAAGGCATTGGACTCCCACATGGCCAATCAGGGTTCAAACCCTGGACCTGGCAGCTTGCTTCCTCAGTCTCCCTCATGTGTGTGTGTGTGTGTGTGTGTGTGTGTGTGTCTAGTCAAATTGAATAATAATAATGATGATGATAAATGAGTAAAATTAAATAGATAATTCTTTTAAAAAATTACTGTTACGTGCTAGATGGCAATTTTGGAGAGACCAAGGAGGAATATCTATAATAATTGCTAAGGAGAGGCAAGGGGTAATAGTGAGTCAGCTTGTGTAGTAAAAAATCAAAAATGAAAACAATACAAACAAATTTTCAGAAACTCCTCTTTTGGCCCTCCATCTTGCCCTGCTAGAGAGAGCCATCCATTTATGTTTATGTCCTTCAGTCTCTTTTGGTTGCAAGTGGCAGAAATCTCTACTCGAAATGAGTTAAGGAAATCAAGCATCTGAGGGATAGTGCAAACACAGCTGAAAGCTTAATTCAATGGCCAAGTTAGATCATCAAGGCTCAGTGTCTCTCCCTCGTGCTCTTGTTTCCTTTCTATTATATCTTTTCCTGATGGAAGGATGGTAACAACATGTCTGCATCACTCTATTCCGTCTTCGCAGGTTCAAGATCAGTAAGAAAAACATATCCAAATTAGGTCTTACCAGAAGTATCCTTGCACCTCATTGGCTCTGACTAGGTCCCATGACCATTCCTGAAATATTCTTGGTAGTCAGGTAGAGAAAATGCTTGGACTGGATTGACAATAGTCACACTCTAATGTGGAGGGATGGAGTTAACCACAGCTGATCCAGATGAGCGCACAGTGAGAAGGGGATGGTTCCCCAGAAGGATTTGCCCCTCTCTCCTACTTCACCATCACACCTCCAGTGCTCTAGTAGAATGCAAGTGAATTTGAGCTGAAAGGGCTGCAATGTGCAGACTCTAAGTAGGAGTTCCTAGGGAAGCCCAAAGACAACAGGAAGACGAAAACAAGGATATTAGGGAAATTTTAACTCTTTAGTACATATAGTTGCCTCAGATACTAAACAGAACCCAATTTTTTTGCCAGTCTAACATTAAACCTCACAGGAGTGGCTTATTTGTCTTAGTTATATTAACCAATACTTCATATATATTTAAATTTCAATAAATTTCAACAAAAAATTATTAAGCATAGATAATAGCAAAGGAAAAACATGTCTAAAGATAAAAGAAATCATCAGGCCCAGACTCAGATATTAAACATGTTTGTTTTGTTTTGTTTTTGTTTTTAATCAGACCAGGGAATTTTAAATAACTGTGACTAACATACTAAGGGGCCTCATGCAAAAGGTAGGCAACACATAAGAATGAACGAGTAATATAGGCAGAAAGATGGAAACTCCAAGAAAGAATTTAAACCCTAATTTGAAAAAAAAAATTCAGAAATAAAGAATGTGATTGGTGCACTCATTCGAAATTAAGACACAGCCAAAGAAAGAATCAGTGAGCCTGAAGATAGGGTAACAGAAAATTCTCAAACTGAAATGAAGAAATGTCTGCTGTCAGTTAAGGACTTGTAGTTCACCCAGTTTTGTCTTCATGATGTCTGCTATCAATGACCTAGAGAACTAGGTCCCATACCAAGTGACTGCTGTTGGAGGACTGCTGGCCTTACAGGAGTTTAAATCACTGCTCAGTTCCGCTCGTCAGCCCCTCTAACATGCAAACCCCTCTCACCTCCATAGTTCTGGTCACTCATTGCTTCAGTATATCAAACTGATCTGTGCCTCAGTTAATAATAGAGGGCTACACAGCGTGCAGGGGGAAGAGCCAGCAGCAGGGCTGGCTTTGAAAAGGTCTGTCTGGCCACAGGCTGGGTTTCAGAGACCAACGCCAGCTGACAAGTGAGGAGTGAGCATGAACTGATGTAGAAACAAATTGTCAAGGAAGGGACCAACTGAATACAACATGGGGATGAAATTTCAGAAAGAAAAAAGGATCCAAGCTGTCAGAAATGGGGCACAAAAACCGGGTCAGGTCAAGCAACCATGGGTGTCACATCCTGTAGAGACCTCCCCTCCCCCACAGCGATATCCTGCAGCTCCTCAAAAACCTCCTTCCTGCCTGATGCAAGGCCATACCAGGGTCCACAGGTAAGCATGGACCTGAGACTATAGATGGGCTCAAGTGCTGCTGCCATGGGAAAACATTTAGAAGCTAAGCAAGGCCTGCCGCCTGCTCCTGCCTTGTGACTGCACCTCAGACCCAGACTCACAGACTGCTCTGTGACTTGCTTTCTTGCTCTGTGGAAGTGTTCCTGCCCGCAGGACAGTCGAACAGGTTTCCTGAAGGAAGGAGTGAGAGATGGGACGAGCAGCTTGGAGATGACGCAGTGTTACAGAATGGGGAGGACACAGCATTACAACTCTTCAGGGTTGTCCATTTATTGTGGGCCAGGGATCGTGGTTACATGTTGGTGGGGAGTGATTTGTTGCTCTATATGTAAATGAAGGATTGTAAAAGGTGGGTTATGATTGGTTGCTTTTGTGGACCAGTCATGAGGTACTGGATATGCAAATCTGAGGGATTCTAGTGGCCAATCAGAGTATGGTTTGGAAGGTGAGGTTTTGAAGGGGAGCCAATTGTGGCCTTTGGCATTGTGTAATTGTTTACTCTCTGAGCCTAAGATGGCAATAGTAAGAGACTCATGAAAATGGCCTTGGTAGACTCGCTTGTGCGCAGCCTCCCACATGGAAGGACTCTTAAACTTTTCCAAAATGAAAGGGTATAACAAGACTTCCACTTTGACCTCTTAGGTTATTCTTATCCTGTCACATGGCTTCTCTCCCCCCCTCCCTTCTTTACTACCATTAAGTGTTGGTGATATTATATTTTAGGTGTCAACCTGGCTAGATTGTGATAGCCAGCTGTTTTGTCAAAAGCAGTCTAGATGTTGCTGTAAAGACATTTGTAAGATGTGATTAATATTTGCAATCAGTAGACTTTTAGTAAACTACCCTCCATAGTATGGGTGGGCCTCATCCAATCTGTCAAAGATGTTAGGAGCAAAGGCAGGTTTCCAGAAGAGGTAATTCTGCAACAAGACCTCTACATGGAAACCCTGTCTTAGTTTCCTATCTGCTAGCCTGCCCCACAGATTTCAGACTTACCAACCTTCATGATCATCAATTTCTGAAAATCTTTCTCGCTTGCTCTTATGGGTTCTATTACTCTGGAGAACTCTAATATAATGTCTCTGTAAGTTTGTTGACAGGGAAGAGTTAACCACTATGGCATGATGGCTAAGACAACTGGAACCCCATGGCTGACTATGTGGTTAGAGTCCTGGATCCAGTATCTTGAGAAACATGCCATGTATGTGTGTGCCTGTGTCCAAAATTCTGACAGGAAGGAGAGATGGAGGAGAACGAATTGCAGCATGATTATCTCCTACAAAGGAGTTACTTTCTTGCTTTCCTTCTCTGTCTCTCTCTCTCCCTTTGGCTCTCTCCAGTCAGAGATGTGGCTATGCCAATTTTCCCTCTTGGGCCTCCCATGTAGCTGGACTACAGGTGCATGCCACCTGCTCAGCGTTTAGGGTGGGCCTGGAATCAAGCTCATGCCTCCCATGTGGCTTCAACCTACAGAGTCTATCAGAGCATTTTACTATGGGTAGGCCAAAAGTTTATCTTTTTGCAACAATTGCTACCTCATTTTATCAGCCATTTTTGTTTCATTTTTCGTTTTCAGTGAAAATCTGAAATTGTATTCATTTATTTGACAGTGGTATTAGCAACAGAAAATACTTTGTTCAGCTCGACTGCTTTTCATTAATTCTCAGCTTCACATAGTTGCAACAGGATGTTGCCCTTTGGCATGTTGACATTAAAATTAATGCTTTTTTTTTTTTTTTTTTTTGAGAGAGGATTGATACTTATTTTTAAAGAAGTCATTTTTAAAAACCTGGTCACCTATTTCTAACTGCAGCCAGCGGAGGGCCCCTGCATCTTAAATGGCTTGGGGAGGCCCCTTTGGAAGCAGTCAATTGCTGTGAGAACAGGACCAGTCACAAACCACCACAATTACACTTGCTCACCACCTTGTGGAGCTGAAACTTTCTTTTCATGTCTGCTTCTGGTTTTATTTTGATTTTGGAAAGGAAAAAAAATATATCAGATGCTGTTTTCTGAGAGTCTTAGGAGCATGTTGTAAGAACACCTCACTCTCCAAGTGCCTCTTGTGCGGGAGTAGACAGAGGCTTCCCACCTTGGTGGCCTCTACTGTTTATTCCATCTCCAACTCCACGTTCACTGAAGTCTGGTGTGAGAATTTCATTTTACTTCATAGAAGTTCCCTTCACTGGCCAGTATGTTTGGGTTGTCATTGCTGTTTTAAACCAAATGGCCATGTCGATTTTAGGCAGTTCCCAGTGGGCTGGCACCTACACAGCAGATACCCTACCCCACACACTATACCCAAACAGGAACTGTACAGAATAAAGAATATAGATGTGTCAGGCCAGCTCATGGCATGGTAGTTAGGGGGACTGGATCCCCATGGCGTACTATGCAGTTAGAGTCCTGGATCCAACAGCTTGAAAAACACACCAGGCATGTGTGCACACATGCCCGAAATCCTGACTAGAGAAAGAGAGAGAGAGAGAGAGAGAGAGAGAGGAGAAAGGGTTGTAGTGTGACCATCCCCCAAACGGGAGTGATTTCTTACTTTCTCTCCATCTCTCTCTCTCTCTCTCTCTCTCTCTTCCCCCCCCCATCTCTGTCTCACTCCAGTGAGTGCACACGCCCTCTGGCAAAACTAAAAAAAAAAAAAAGGTAAATACATCTAAAACAAATTCCTAACAACATAATCTTTTTAACAGATAGACTCATACTTTATTTTGACAAATTTAAGATAGAAAAATATCATAATGAGAATATAGCAGTTGTTCTTTTTATAACATGTTTTGGGCAATGCAGATAATACCAAATTATATTTCAGTATTAATTTCAGTATTTAATGCTGAAATATATTTCATTTACTTGAATGTGGGATGCAGTAAAACTGGTTTGTAAGAAAAGGCAATGGCATTGGATAATAAATATTATAAAGCAGTGAACCAAAAACAACTTTAAAATATTTGTATAGTTACTAAAAGCAAACTTTAGACCTCATGATTTAAATTAAGAACTCATAGTTTTTAACAATTTTACGAATATGTAATAGGATAACACAGCACTTATATTCAAAAACGAAGGAGAGAAATTAGAGTAACCATGGGATTTCAGACAACTATAAACAGTGAACATCAAGTCAGTGTATTTATATACATCATTTCAACCGGATATTCTTTGTCCAGAGAGCAATAAAAAATGTAGTCTAGCTATCATCAAAAAACGTGTCCCTGAATGTGATCTTAGAACGTGTTAAGTGCTGTCATCATTTCTGCTCTCCATCTTTGGAAGGCGTGGAGGGACTCGGTACATGCAGATATGTGGTTCTGGTTCTAATGACGAAAAAAGAAATCATGAAAGTGCCAGGAGCCTGAAGCCTGAACGTCTGCCTTACTGGGCTAAGCACCCTCATATTCTTTTGTCTCTGCAATGCCTCAGAAAAGTCCGCTAAATAATTCACACAGGTGCTAACTTTCCTCTCCCGTCCCTCTCAGCGTCTCTCACTTCCCTTCCCCACTCCTCAAAGAGTACACCCAACAGGAGGCCCCGTTAAAATATTTCTGGCATATAAAATAAGTGTATGTACATATTTACATCCATGCATTTCCTCTTCAAGGACTGGGTAACTCCTCGTTTTCTATCAAATAATCCTTCTTCATATACTTGGTCCCCCTGACTAACCTCCACACTTCGAGGTACGTGTCCTTTAAGGACCTCCTGGCCCCTTCTATCGTGCTGCCTGCCACCTGTGAACCGCTAGCCACCAGGGGAGCCCCTCTGGAGCTGCTCCTTGCCTCCTGCTCACTCTGCAGCTCAGAGCCACCTGCTGCCTCCCCACCTTCAGACCCGCCATTCCCACTCTCCCCAGGCAGCTCTTCCATGACAAACGGCAGCTGGTCTCCACTTGGCGGGGCCTCCTGGCCCCCAGGCTGCGACTCCAGGTCTTCATAGTTGCTCTGCTTTCTGGTCTCCACGAACTTGGCCACACAGTAAATGATGGAGCCCAGGGTGTTCACCACCACGCCGGCAATGAATAGAGAGGTGGGCTCCACGTCGCTGAAGGCCACCATGCCCACCGTGATGGTGGCGATGCTCTTCACCACGCCCACGAAGCTGGTGGTCACCGCCGAGTTGATGTAGGTGCAGTGCAGCGTGGTGAAGTTCATGGCGCAGCCGATCAGGATGCAGGCCACAAAGATGCAGACCATGGCCGGGTCCTTCCAGCCGGGAAAGGTCCAGGCGTGGATGGAGTCGGTGCTGGCGAAGGAACAGATGACCAGCAGCGGGGTGGCGGAGACCGCGATGACATACTGCGCGGTGAGCGGCCCGTGCTCGGTGTCGGCGCTGGCCTTCTGAATGAGCACCAGGTAGGCGGCGTGCACCAGTACCGCCAGCACACCGGTCACGTAGCCGATGGGGTCTCCAGTCAGGTCGCCGGCTCCTGGGGCGCACGCAGGGGACCACAGAGCCCGAGCGGGAAGGGAAAAGAGAGAAGACACCGGGTTGGCGCGCGTGGTCTCCACCTGGACAGTGAGTCGGGCTGCAAAATAGACGGGGCTGGCTCTCCAGCGCGACCCACCGAATTCTGTGACTGGTGCTCGCTTGCCTCAGCTACCCGAGAAAGGCGACAGCCAAGCTCAATGCCCAGTGCGATGCATTAGGAGAGGCGCCTTCCCTGCCATGTCCTCGGGTCACCCTGACTTACTTCCTCTGTCCACGACAAAGGCCCCAAAGAGCACAGCTGCCCCCAGGGTGACTTCGCCGAGTTGGCACCGAGGTTACCCAGGCGCCTGCTGCCTTTATCCCTACCCCCACTCCGTAGGGCGCCGAAAAGGAAAGGGGGCCCCAGCTTGTGGCCTCTAACCCGGAGAGGACCCGGAGTGACAGAAGACCTTCTCAGCCCCCTAATGATTTCTTGCTCCTGCCGGTTCCCATCTGCTCAATCCGCCAAACCTGGCCGCACTTGGGTCCCTGTCGGGTCCCCTCTGCCCCGGCGCGCATCTCCCGGCAAGGCGTCAGATACTCCCAAACTAGCCCCGGGAGCCCAGGCTTCGCTCCCATCCCCCATTCTAGCCCCGCGTGATCCAAGGAAGTTCACGGCCCCCCTCCTTCCGGCTCCGTCCAGGGTAGGAGGACGCCCGCTCCCGGTCTCAGGCGACTCTCCCACCTCTAGAGGAAGAAGGGAAGACCTGGGCCTGGGGGCGGCAGATGGGGCATACTGGGTGAAACGGGGGCCGGGTCGGAGGCCGGGCTAGGGGCTCGGGAGAAGGCCAGAGCGCTGGGGAAGGCTCCTCTGGGTCTCATACGTCCCTTTGGGAGCCCAACGACCACTCAAAAGGCCCTCCGCCTCTCGCTGCCTCAGTCTCCCCTTCTGGAAGCGAGGGCGTTGCACCAAGTGATACCGCAGTCTCTGCCGGGTGGGGAGGGCTGGGGTGGGCGCGGGTCCCGCTCACCTGCCAGGGCGGCGCCGCAGGTGGTGATGAGCACGGCCACGAGCACCCCGAGCGAGGGCGCGCCGTTCTTGAGCACCAGGACGCCGATGAGCATGGTGACCAGGGGCAGGCAGCGCTTGAAGACCACGTACATGGGCAGGCTGAGACCGCGCAGGGACCAGAGCGTGAGGCTGGACTGCAGCGTGGAGAGCACTGCGACCCCCGCGAAGGAGCGCGCCAGACTCAGGCCGAAGGGGGGCACGGCGATGAGCCCGAGGCGCCGCAGCAGCTCCAGGCTCAGCGCCGCCGTGGAGCTGGTCAGGCACTGCACCAGGGTCAGGAAGGAAAACTGGTAGCGGCTGATGAGGAACTTGAGCAGGATGTTGAGGGAGCCCGAGAAGACCCCGTGCGCGATGGCTACCGAGATGCCCAGCACGCGGCCCCGGCACAGCTGCCGCATCGCGCCGGCCCCGCAGCCCCCGGCGGCGG